AACGTTGTCGTATTTTAAATTGTTGTATTGTCTTATTTATCCCCTTTCCCCGTTTTATTGTAAGCCGCCCGGAGTCCTTTGGGAGTGGGCAGCATACAAAACCAATGAATGAATGAATGAATGAAATGAAGGAAGTGGTGGACAGAGCCAATTTTCTATTTGTCAAGCATACAAAAGCAGAGTTTTTGTAATGAGTTGGAACCTTCAGCCAACCAAAAAATAAAAATCCTTAAAAGTTTGAGTCCACCAAGAACCAACCAATAACAAATTGAAGATTGGTTCTTGGTGAATTCACAACTTTAAAGGATTTTTTTAAAGGCAAAGGCTAGAAAACAAGAAAGACATCTCTGGATAACGAAACGCAATGCCAAAAGAAAAAGAAACAGCCCACCAGGTAACCCAGAACCTGCAGGAGGAGGGAGGGGAAGGGGTAGGATATGGAAAGACCCGCCCCAGTGCTTGCTCCAGCACTTTCCAAGTGCAGCAGGGCAGGCTGAACACAAGGTCACAATCCCTTCCACCTCTCTCCCTTATTCCACATCATAGTGTTCAGTCGCACCTCTCACATGTTGAATAAAGTGGAGCAAAGGGACAGTAACTGCTGCAAACACTCTTTGAACCTCACCCCAAAACCCACTGACTCCAATTCCTGCCCTCCCACCCACCTGCTAATTACCCACATGAGTCACCCTGGTGGCAACACCTGCTGCCTTTTAGAAAAAGCAGCTGCCTCTTGGGTTGGGTGCAGCTGACTCCCTGTGAAATGCCAGCGATGAGGAAACTTGCTAATTATAAAGGATGAGACCGAAGGTTTCATCATGAAAGCTACCCACCCGTCTCATCTGCTGCTATCAATCCAGGAGCAGAAAGCTCTACTCCTCCCAAGGGCTGTACAGATAAATCCTTGAGGAATCTGATTACACACAAGAGACCCCTTGCCACACTTACCTAAGGCTGCTATTCTGTATCTCAGCCCCTCTGATAGGAAAAAGCACCACCTGCTGCAGCTCCTCTCTGCTCCACCACTGTGGCATCCCGTGAAGTGTTTCCAATACAAATCGCAGCCTCTTACCTTTTGAGCATGATGCTCCTGGCTCTTCTGCATGGTAGAGCCTGGTTGCTATGCTCTCCCTGCCTACGTGTGTACTCTTCCTCTACCACTTGCTCAAGAGATGTCTTCTTTCTCTCTGCACAATGAGAAGGGCAGAAAGCAGCATCCGAAACAATAGGCAGATCAATAAATATCCTCCTGGTTGTCTTTTCTGTCTCTTTCCAGATTGCTGCTTCCTGACTGAGTGTAACTGGCACAGTGAGAAGAGATGTTAACACTCTCTAGAATAAAGCAAAATGAGAGAGAGAGTGAGAGAGCTGCTGGGAAGGACTAGGAACAACACAAGCTGGCTAGCATACACATTTGCTTAGCATTAAATGGGTATTGCAGATTGTCAAAAAGAAAGACTAAGGGCAAATATTCATACACTCCTATCTATAGAAGAGAATATTTGTTGCTCAGGGTGGAACTGAGGGGTCCTTGTTGCTCTATGAGCTTGGTTATTTTCTCTCAGATGTTTCATTTCCAAGCTAGGTAATATCATCAGTGCTAGTAGGGAGTGATGTTTATTCTCATGTTGTTTACTAGTGGCTTGCCCTGTCAGTGTTGATGGTAGTGGTTTTGAGCAGGTTGTTGTTCACTTTTAGCTTATTTGTCTGAGTTGGTAGTTCCTTGATTGTGGTATTGTTTGCTTCTTAATTGTTGGTCTAATATTAATTTTGGTGTTAATCTCTGCATAGCTGGGTGTTGATTGCTGGTGAGGAGATGTTTTGGTCTTTCTGTTTCTTTTTTGGCTTTTGATTGTCTCTTTGGAATGATAGGTTGATGCTGTTTATTTCTATGTGCTCTCAGACAAATTAGCCATCAACAGGCACAAAGAGATAAACAACATGTACACACAAAAGTTGTTGTAGAATTGCAAGAATGTATGAGCTCTTAAAGAATGTATGACTTTGAGGTAGACCAAGCTCTTGAAATGTTTATCAAGGTAAAAATCTATCTTCCCACAGCCATTACAAATGGGCAACGTGAGAAACAGCTGATCACAATGAAAAGCCATTACAACGTTNGGGGGCGAGTGTTTTTCCCACGGCACACCTCACACTGTGCCGCGGCACACTAGTGTGCCGCGGCACAGTGGTTGAAAAACACTGACTTATCTAACTCTTGAAAGTGGCAATCCTCTTCTATTGTCAAATCCGTGATGTCACCAGGAGTCAGGGGAGACCTCACTCATTTTCCTTATCAACAGAAGGAAAGATACAGTTCACACTCTTGGCAAGAGACCCAGTATAAAGCAAGAGAATGTAACATTTTCCAGTATGACAATTATGCTTGGCTTCGTGGTAGTAGTATGTCAGGGGACATTCTTTAAAAAATAGAGAAGGCCAGGACCAAGCTCGAGGGCTGAGCAGGACAAAAGGAAATGCTCTGCTCGTATTCAACAATTTTATTCTTACATCACATTAGAAGTTACAATTTGGTTGTGACTTCTGGAGAGAGTTGAGGGAGGGGATTAAGATTTTTCTGTGGCCCTAATCTGTGCAGATTAGTTATAGAGTGCTAGATCAGGAGGGATCGACTTGGATTCAAAGTTTTACCAGGCTATGGTGCTAAGTGACCTGGGCTAGCACTAGATTTTAGTCTATTCTTCACAAGTCAATCTAAAACAGGAGTGTCAAACTCGATTTCATTGAAGGCCACATCAAGGTGGTGTTTGACCTCGGGGAGGGGCAGGGTAGTGGCCAGGGTGGGCATAGCCAGTTGATTTCACTCATCAAGGCTCCATTTTCAGCCATGATGGCCTCCTGCAGCCTTCTGCCAGTAAAAACGGAGCTCGGGGAGGCTGCGCATGGCTCATCCGGCTTCCGTTTTTGGCTGCAACGGTCTCCTGCAGCCCTTTGCCAGCGAAAACAGAGTTTGCGGCCTTCCCAGGCTCTATTTTTGCTGGCAGAGGGCTGCAGGAGGCTGTTGCAGCCAAAAACAGTGCCTGGCCTCTGTTTTCACTGGCAGAGGCACCTCGGGCCGGTCCTTCGCTGTTTCCAGGGTAGGCCCGTGGGCCAAATCTAAGCACCCCATAGGCTGGATCCAGTGTGTGGGCCTTGAGTTTGACACCCCTGCTCTAAAGGAAAAAAGAGATTGGATAAATATTTATCTCTATCCAAGTATCCATTATCTTCTTTCCTGGCTTCTGGTACTATGGATTACAACAATAACATGAAACATACAAATACCCGCCTTGATAAGTCTATGAATTTGATACAGATGAGAAGAAACATGTCCCAGGAGATACAATATATGAAACTTGGTTTGACTTCTTCTTAGTTGATCTGGGCAACTCCTTAAGAACAACCTTCAACCACCAATCAGCAAAGGAGCTTTTCTTTAGTAAGCTGATCAAATATTTCTGTAGCATACTTTTTCATAGAGGTCACTTTGCATATAAATGATTGCAACGTCAGCTCAGAGCAAAGAAATGATTCACTAACTTGGCAGAAGGATGTGAGAATTCCAGATGGATGAGTGGAGAAAGTCGAATTGCTGAGGTCATAGAACTTTGAATCGATGAGTTTGAGAAATTCTTAGCAAAATTTCTGGAAGCAGCACCTAAGTTGGTCAAAGTTATTTAAATGAAAATACTGTAAATATAATATGAGAGGATATATATTAAGTACAAATAGTAAGGATAGTTTGAATTAGGTATATGCTGTACAAATATCATTTCTAAGCTATATTTTTCTACTCCTTGTTCTCTCTTTTTTCTTAACCTCTCCCCAAGAAAAAAATCTGCTAAGAAAGTAGACAGGAAAAAAACTGCACTATGCAGGCACATCAATAAGGAGAAGGGCCCAAAAAGTCAGTGACTATTGCTGATGTCCCAGCATGGCAACCCTTTAAAGTAATAGCTCTGTGAGTATTATATGTAGACATAGCTTGAAGAAAGAATGATATGAGATTTATGATAGGTAAAGCTAAATTTTATAACCTCATCTCTCCTAACTTCATACAACTATCAATGAGGGCAATGCAGTGATATTAACTAGCTCTGATGATGTTACCTAATTTGTGTAATAAAACATCTGTAAGGAAACAACCAAGCTCAGAGAGTACCAAGGACCCCTCATTTCAACCCTAAGCTATAAATATTCTCCTTTCTTGAAACTACTAGCAATTTTATAACATCCATCAAGAATGAGTTTCTTAAACAATTGATGAATTGATCACATTATATTTTAAACTTAGATGTATATTAGCATGTTATCTAGCATCAGTGGTGGGATTCAGCCAGTTCGCACCTATTCGGGAGAACCGGTTGGTAACTTTCCAAGTAGTTCAGAGAACCGATTGTTGGAAGACATCTCCTTTTGTTTTTGTCCACTTTACAGGGCTAATCCTGTAAGGAAGGCAGGAAGGAAACATTCT